CCCACTAGAGTCTCCCTATAATTTAATGCCTAATGCTTTCTGGAAAGTCTTTCTTTCTTTCTTTCTTTCTTTCTTTCTTTCTTTCTTTCTTTCTTTCTTTCTTTCTTTCGCTTTTTTGCAGCACAATGTGGTAAGGTGGATGGGGGCCAGTTGAAATATATATACAGCAATGTACAAATACTGTAAATAGATTTTCAGAAGCTGAATGAATCTATGAAGCACTTAGATTAAAAATCTATTAAATGAGCTTCCAGATCAAGAAATAAATTAGCAGCACACCAACTGAAGTATTTCAGAGATGGAAAGATGACACTATTTGTTTAAAGGCTAATTGAGATATAATTGGCATATAATAAACTATGCATATTTGAACTATACAGATTGATGAGCTTTGATACTTGTCAAACTACTGCCACTGTCAAGATAATAAATATATCCACCACCTAAAGTTTTTACTCATGCCTCTTTGTCATCTTTTCTCTTATCCTCCTTTGCTATTCCTAAGCAGCCACTGATCTGGTTCCTATTACTATAGTTGGTATTTTCTGGAATTTTATATAAACAGAATAATATACTGTTATGGCTTGTCCCTAGGTGGGGCTTTTTCAGAGGTGGCTGAATCCAGAGTGTGTGACTGATTCATGGTGCAGTGCTGGGATTAAGGGTGTTAGGATTAAGGATGAGTGATTACTAAAGCAGTTCCCTGATTGGTTTGGCACCACCCTAATCTCAGTAGCCTGGATACAATATAAGGGACAGAGAAAGGCTTGTCTTATCCCTTGCTTGCTTGCTTTGCTACCTTTCACCTGCCATGAACTGTTTTTCCTCTGCAATGCCTGTCTGCCATGCTGTTCTGCTTTGGAGCCAGCCGATGGTGAATTGGCTCTACAAACTGTGAGCTAAATAAACTTTTCCTCCTTTAACTTTGTGGGTCAGGTATTTTGTCTCAGCAGTAAGAAAAGTAACTAACACATATACTGTGTTCTTTATCATTTCACTTTATTCATGTAACTATATTCTTACATGTTGTGTGCAAAAACAGTTTGTTCCTCTTTATTTAAGTATATTCCATTGTATGGATTCAATGTAATCTGTGTAATCCATTTTCCTCTTGATGGAGAGTTAGCTTTCCAGCTTATGGTTATTATAAACAGAGTTGGTATGAACATTGATGTACAAGTCTTACTATGGACATTTGTATATTTTTCTTATGTTAATATCTAGGAGTGGAACTGCAAGATGTTACGGTATCAGTATTTAAATTGCTAAAAAAATCAAATAATTTTCCAAAGTGGTTATACCATTTTATATTTTTTGTAGCAAAGTGTGAAATTATGGTTTCTCTACATCCTTGCCAACAATTGGTATAATCAGTATTTTTAATTTTAGTCATTCTAATAAATATCTCAATTTGATTTCATTTTCCATTTTCCTAAAGACTAATGGTAAGTGTGCTTACTTGAGTGAGCTTTAGTTTTATTTACACCAAGGTAACACACATAAATTGGAATATTCTTAGGCAAATTTGGAGAAGTAAAGGAGAATGAAGGGGGTGGATTTGAGGGGGAAAAGTCTATCTACTGTTGTGACAATGCTTTAATATAAAGTTACATGACATTTTGTTCTTGTTACTATGTAAACTGATAATAATGCATATTGATTATTTTTTCCTGAAAGGGAAAATATGGCAAGTTATATCTTGACTAGATCTGAGGGTCAACATTTTTTAAACTTAAAAAATGCCATTTAAAATGAATATATTACAAAATACATTTACCCTTAAACAAAATGGTATAAACCACAAAACATCAAAAAGCATATATTAAATAGTGCAACATAATAACCATCTCTTAACATTATATTTAATATGTATCAGTTTTATAAAACATTTTAAATGGTTCTACCTTCTAAGAATTCCCAAGCTTTAATTTTGCCTTAATGGCTCAAATTAAAATGTGTAAGATTATAGACTGTAAGAGTTCTTTTGGAGGTACTTTGCAAGGCATCTTTAAGGTGAAATTATAGAGCACTGGAGGCACTTGATTAAGCCTTTTGGACTGTGAATGTTTTGTTCTTCTACTGTCTTCTCATGGAAAAATAATAAATCATATTGGCAACTGTAAATCTTTATGAATATTCACAGACTTTTTTTTTGCTGTAATTACCTTTCAAAATAAAATAATCTTTGTAAGTAATATAGATCAGCAAATGTGAGGGGAGATGAAAATATGCTATTAAGAATCTGCATGGTGCATGCTATCCAGGCCATTATTTAATATTTTATACACGATATTATTATTGCAATTATTTGGAACAACTCATTATGTTTTGTACATAGTAAACTCTCAAATACTGTTAGGAGTAAATATTGGATATAAAACTATTTCTAAAAGTGGAACATGATTCCCCAGAGTTTTAGTATTTGATTTCCAGATGACTAGAAGACTGTCTTTCATATAATCTTACGCACTCTGGGGTTTTCATGGTGAACAAAGTAAACATTGAGCTGGATATCACTGGAAGCATTTGAACGAAACAAAAAGGTAATAAAAAGAAACCTTCTTAACTTTAAAACCAAGTGTAGATTTTTTTTCTGGTTGACACCGTTGAGAGAATATTTTCCGCCAGAATTGGTCAGTTTTAGTGACACAGGAGTCTTTCCTAGCACAATAACCTTTTTTTCTTTTAGACAAATTTTAAGAAAAATGTTGAGCTGTTATCGCAAAGCAGCAGCTTCTTATTCAACAAAAGCTATGTGCTTTAAATCCTAGCTCCACCTCATAATACCATATGATCTTGGTCAATTAATTTTGCTTTGACTATCTTCTTGTTTAAATTCCTTGTCTACAAAATAGAGCACTAATATTTATCTATCTGAAAAGATTCATCTAAGATTGAGAAAACTACCATTTTTCTTGAAGTCATTTGTCAAGATTACTAACAAGTTGCAGAGTTGAATGTGCAACGAAGTCTCCAAAATCTAAAGCTTTACCCCTATTCCAAGTATCTTAGTTATACTCTCGTTGCTGAGATAAAATAGATGACACCCACAAATTAAAGGAGGAAAAGTTTATTTTGGTGCACAGTTTGTAGAGGTTTCAGTCTATAGTCAGCCGGCTCCAAGGCAGGGTGGCATGGCAGAGGGGCGTCGCAGAAGAGAAACAGTCCAGGTAGGCAGGAAGGCAGGAAGCAGTGAGCAGTGAGCCTTCCTCTTCCTTTTTTCCCATCCAGGCTACAGATCTATTAGTTGATGCCACTGACACCCAGGGTGGGGCTTTCCATCAACCACACCCAGAAGTATGCTAAACCAATCAGTGGACTAATCTAGTTATTGCACCCTTAATCCAGTATCACACACCCATGATCCAGCCACTCCCAAAAGGCCCCTCTATGAGCACATGAGGCTTTGGGCTGACATCTAGGTACAAACCGTAATACCAAGTGTACCACTCAGTCTCTTGAGGTAAAATATGAAGAAGCTTGGATAATTAGTGTGAAGTTTCAGTGAGCAGATGGTATTAAATCAGTCATTTCTGATCCCTTACTAGATTGTAGCTTTCTAAAGCAAACATTGCTCAGAGTTCTGGATGGAATGGTGATAAACATAGGCTTCCCCCCTCTTTTCTAAATTACTTTGTTCCCTCTGTCCAAAGTTGATGTTTCCCGAAGCCACTTCCATTCAACATTATCTACGGAAGAGTTTTCAGAAACTTGACGAAGCTAAAAAGATGCCTCTCCACCAAGAATCAAACAGGATACGACAAGGTGGAGAGGGAGTTAGGTGTTGGGCCAGACCAATGCTTAGTAGATGAAAGGGCTTTAGGAAGAATTAATCAGATTTGGCTTTAATTTAAATGCTGTTCACTTTAAATTTCAATATGGGTAAAATGGGCTCAGAAACATAAAGGAAACTCTGTGAAATCTCAGTGCTTTATTGGTTGCCAGTAGTTCCAAATGATTGGACCTCTTTCAAAAACAGTCACTATGGAAAGCTCTGTGCCTCTTTCAATAATTGCTGAAACCACTCTGGATGTTTCTTTTCAAATTTTTATCATAGTCAGGTTGGTCCCCTCCTTTTCTTTCCTGCTTCTTAGTTTTCCTGCCCCCCACACATAATAAGTCCTTTATAACTGATTCCTAACCTTGATCAGAAATAAATTATTTGAAATAATCAGTTACCTGTTCATCATGTACAACTCTGAATGCCTTTCTCCTACTTCAAAAACAAATTCTTTGATCCCATTTCTCAACATCCCCAAAGATTAATGGCCTACACCATTGAATATTTATATATTTTAAATATTCTGCAGGCTATTAAGGACATTTCAAAGGGAGAAGCCCAAAGACATTTTAAACACAGGTAGTGAATGCTCTCAAGGAAGAAAATTACTTTTGGTGCCTCATTTAAAAATGTTTGTTAAAAGGTGAGTCAAACTGTAAGTATGTTATATATGTGTATATTCTTGATGCATGTGTGTATGAATAATCCTAAAAATTTCTTCCATATTTTTAAAAGGAAAACTAAAGTTGAAAGACAGCAGCAGAAGAAAAATTAGCATGTAAAATGCCATGGGAAGAAACACTTGCTAGAAAAATGTAAAAGAGTCTTGACAAGCCTCTTTCATCATTTTACCCAGAAAAGCAGTAACACTCAAGAATAAAACTATTATGAAAAGACAGTTGCATTTCAATATTGTTAACATATTTAAAGGATTAGGTTCATAGTTAGCATGGGAAGAATCCAAAACCTTTTTAAGAGACTTTATTCTAATAATCAATCTTAAAATACATTTTATTCCCTTATTTTGGTTACTTTAGTGAAAACCCAAGAATAAATTTTAACTTTATCAAGATTAAATTTTATGTCTTAGTGATACCCTCCTAAAAACTGAATTTACATTTTATCTGGATGCTTCATTTTGTTACATACCACTGAAAATTCAGAAATGATAAGTGTATTAACCTTCTCCTCCTAAAGAATGTAGGCAGTCACTCTTTAATAATTCAAAGAACTTTCTTTATTGATGAATTCAATAGGAAAATATTAATACTACTAAACAAAACTTAAATAAATCACCATAGAAAACAAGCAAAATAGAAAAAGAAAAATAAATCCTAACTGCTCAAAATATTTTGCTTTTTTATGCCAGTGTATATTTCCTAAATCATAGTGACAGTTTTTCCTCTCTTTTGTTGGATGGAGTACATGACAGCTAGTCATATACTGCAGCAGGTGCAAAAGATAAATGCTCTCCTATTAAAGTCAAGAGTGTCAGCAGTCCATGTGCAGTGATGGGCAGCCCTCCATCACTTTCCATAAAATATCTCTTGAGAAAGCTGTTGCTAACCCTTATTACTATGCTGATCAACTTATTCTTATTGTGAATTGTTACTCTTCAAAGGCAGTCAGCTGAGTTGTACTCTACTTTTTTACATTCACTGATGGGTGATAAAAGAAAAAAGTCAAGCAGAAAACAGAGGACAAAGGTTGTTCACAATTTCACTTAACATCAAACAAATCCAAAATTTAATCTTTCAAATATAGCATTCATTTTGGAATTATGATACTGATAATTGTTAAATCTGACTATATACATTACATTAAAAACTGGAAAAGGTTGATCAATGATTTCTGTAAATAGAGAATTATGGTAGATTCTAAAATGAATTAGTTATAGTTAGTCATGTAGGAATTAATTAAAAATTATTATAATTACAATAAAATAAAATCTTGCTATGGCTTAACATTTTTCCCTTTGCTGTTTTTTATAGAAATCCTTTTTCAGATCATTATAAATCAAAAGCTGTACTCAGGTGATATATAGGACAACTTTTTTAACAACTGATCGAAAGTGAAAGGATAGTCTATATAACATAGCCTGACTTGTTTTGAACTTAGATATTAAATTGGAATTTGTTATGAGGAAAGGGGAGAAACTTAAATTCCGTAAAGATATCAATTAATGAGATTTTTTAAAGGTATGTGAAAATGGCCATATGTAGTGAATGAACAAATATTGGAACCACTTTTTTTTCCTTTTTTTTTTTGGTACTGGTGATCGAACTCGGGTCCTTGCGCTTGCGCAGCAGGCAGCGACACCACTGAGCTAAATCCCCGGCCCCTGGAACTACTTTTAACAATCTAGCTAACACACCTTTGAGATATGGATCGCTCTAGTAAAAAATAAAGTATTGTTAAATCTTAACAATGGTAATCTGATAAGTGGTCAAAACAAATATATTCTCTTGTTTTTCTTCCTAATTTTTCTACATATAAACTCCCATCTTTTGTAGAATAATGAGAATAAAGTGCTGGTCTGTGGCAAGTTCAATAAAACTTGGATTTTTTTGGCTCTGTCTTATCTTTACTGCCAGCACAATATTGCCAGCTGGAGAGTGTGGCTGATTTTATATGTGGCAGGTATTAAAACCAGGAAGCTACTGAAAATAAATCATCAGTAAAGCATTAAGGCAAACTGAGAGCACTGTAACATCCTTCCTTCACACTGAGATTTAACATTCACTAGAAAGTGGGCTCAAAATCCAGAATACATCTGAAAAAATAAACTTGAGACACAGGAGAAAGGACTTCCATTGACAGATGGCTTAGTTGATCTAGCCGACTGGCTGGGAGAAAAGGTTTTCCACATGGCAGTTTCAGTTCTTTAACCAAAGTCAACATTTCTGCCTCTGATGGTTCAGATCTTAGTCCCCAAATGCCACGTGCTGAAGGCTGGGTTGCCAGCCTGTGGGCTATGGGAGGAGGTAGAATCTTCACAGGCAGGTCCTAGTGGACGGAAGTTACGTACTCAGGCTCACGACCTTCATGAGAGATTGGCCCCACCCCCTCCTCGGTCTTTCTTTCCCAGCCACCATAAGGTAAACAGCTCTGCTCCACTATGCACTCCGCACCATGATACTTGGCCTCACCGCAGCCCAACACACAAGAGTTAAGTGACCATGGACTGAGACCTCTGAAACCTGGAGCCAACATAAACCTTTCCTCCTCTTAATTTGGTTTTCCTAGGTATCTAGTCACAGACATGGAAAGCTAACCCACTGGGTAAGATAGAAATCAGTCTTGGATCCAACGCAAGATATGTCTTCTGGAGTTATACTCACTTCAATTTAGACACATTTAACTTTTCTTTTTATTTTATTTTCATCTTTCTTTTTTCTTTCTCTTTTTTCTTTATTTTCCCTTCCTTCCTTCCTTCCTTCCTTTCTCTCTCTCTCTCTCTCTCTCTCTCTCTCTCTCTCTCTCTCTCTCTCTCTCTTTCTTTCTTTCTTTCTTTCTTTCCTTTGTCTTTCTTTTGAGATAGGGTCTTGCTATGTTTTCCAGGCTGGCCCTGAACTCACTATGTAGTCCAGACTGACCTTGAACTCATGGAGATCCTCCTGCCTTAGCTTCCCAAGTGCTGGGATCATAGACAAATGTAATTTTTCCTAGCTCAATTAATTCTAGCTTTCATATCTTAGAGAGAATTTTCTAAATATATACAGTGTCAAGTTTCATTCATTCCTATTATGACGGTGGATTTTTTTTCATAACCTCTGATACTCTATACCCATATGCCTAAGTTCAGTGGAAGCCATATTACTTTTATATCAAAGTACTACTACAAGTAGAAACAACATCAAATATTTTCAAATTGTGCCTAAAATGTGGAACTTAAAAAAAAGTTAGTGAAATAATTATTAATGAATATATTGGAATATTGCTGAATTTTAATGAAGAAATAATTTGATACTGAAACAAATCTGGCATAATTTTATTCTATTTAAAAAGCATCTAATATTATTGAAGTTATAAAGAGACTTCATCTTTTTATTTGAAAAATAATATATTTTTTAAAATATACTATTGAGTCAATCAAAATTTCATTAACAGATTGTAATAATATCAATAATTGCTGGGGATTTAGCTCAGTGGTTCTGTTGCCTGCCTCGCTAGGGCAAGGACCCAAGTTCGATCCCTGTACCAAAAAAAAAAATCAATAATTACCTAAGATTCACTATTGTATGAAAGCTTTTGAATAGTGGACTACTTTTGTAATAATAAATGTAAAACAAAATTTGAATTAGAGTATTTATTTGTTGCCTGGTAATAAAGACGAGAAAATAATTTCAGACACAGTCATAGAGTATAGCCTCCAGTCCTCAAGCCATATATAAATTTGTATATGTCAGGTGCTTGAATATTATTTTTGTATCACCTTCTGCTCAAAAGGGAAAATATGAAGATTGAAAAACTAGCAAGGAGGAGCATATTTTTTTAAAAAATAAAAACTTTTAACTAACCATAAAATAGGGGTTTTAAAAAGGTTTTTAGGGCCAGGATTTAGCTCAGTGGTTCTGCTGCCTGTCTAGCAAGCGCAAGGACCCAAGTTCGATCCCCGGTACCAAAAGAAAATAAAAAATAAAAATAAAAGCCCTCTTCCACTCATATGATGTCAAATTACCATACAAATCATAATGTAAAAGTAATGAAACATTGTACAAAAACTTTCAATAGAATTTTAAAATTTAACAAGGGAATTTCAAAGTTCAATCTTTCTCAAAGAGACTGTAAGGATGGTTAAAATCCTGAAGGAAGCCTGAAAGAAAAAAGGACATAGTCATTACAATGTTCACTCTTCAGTTTCACATCCAGGCTAGAAAATTTAAGTTCAAGAGATTAGGACAATTTTTAGAGAAAGCTACTGTTTTCCATCTCATGTTTCAATCCTTGAAAAGCTATACAAGAGAAAAATGATTATAAGCTTAAATTTGTCATCCACACCCCAAAGTAAGTTGGAAATGAAAAGCTTTTTCAATTACGCCATGGAACATAGTGTCGGGTACCCTGCTACTGAGGACAAGGGGTGCGCTGAAGGCTGCAGAGGACCCGCCCACCCACCATGCCTGAGGTTAGAGAGCTACACAGCTCCCGTGTTCCTGGAGAAGTATCAACGTGGCAGAAAGAAGTCTTCTATTCTAAAAGGACACAAATCAGTCCGACTTTTCTCTCGTGCTGGAGAGCAGCCCTATTGACGTCTATCACCATGAAGGAGCAGCTGGGCCGCCTGCTCCCCAAGTGGCAGCTCAGCCACTCAGCAGACCACGTCTGGTCATCCCCTGCCATTCCTCATCACAACCACCTAGCTTTGCTCTTCTGTGGCAGAGGTCTAATTACAAATAGTGTTTCCCACATTTTACATTGTCTTAAGAACAGCTGAGGCTCCCTCTTTCAGCCAGGTCTAGTGCTATCCCAACTCCCGAGGCCGGCCTATAAATCCCTAGATAACCTGATCCAGGTGTCCCCAGCTATGCTGACCCCCAGGTTCTCCAACACCCGTGCCCTGTCTGCCTCAGGGCCTGTGCTGGGACTTTGCTCATCAGACTTTGCTCTTTGGGTAAAGGCCACTCCCCCGGGGAGGCCTTTCCCATTTATCCCAAATAGGTTACCTAAACTGCTTACCCCATTTCCAGCCCTTCTTCATCTCCCAGAAGTTTACAGTTTGTAGTTATTTTCTTTGTTGTATGCTTCTTTGTTGTCACACTGGAATATACGCTCCCTGAGGGCAGAGATCTTTGCCTTTCTTGTTCAAGTTGTGTCCCCAATACAGGCGCATAGCAAAAACCCAATAGGTGTTTATTCCATCAACCCCACTCTAACTCCCTTTATTCTTTTTTTTTTTTTTTGGTACCGGGGATCGAACTCGGGTCCTTGCACTTGCGCAGCAGGTGGCGAAACCACTGAGCTAAATCCCCGGCCCCAACTCCCTTTATTCTTATCTAATCCAGGGCAAAATGAACTCATCATGTAATCAGTTTTATCATTACCTTTCAAGTCACCAAGTACTTACTACAAGTAAAGTGCCAACTGTAAGGCGCCACTACTGCAGATATTATTTGCCAAGTGTTTATTACGTGCTGGGCCCTGCTATCAGTGTTGTACATATATTATCTTGTTGTTCTACCACAACTATGTGAACGCATAACTGCCCTGCTCCCTATACGACAGGTAAGGAAATGAGACCCAGGAAGATTAATAATATGCCTACTACAAACAGTAACTGAGACAGCCAGGACTCTACACTCTATTAAGTAAAACATAGTTTCTATTCCACCATGAGATTCTATTCTACCATGAGGAGAGAGGGGAGAATAAAACAAGATGGAAATTCAAGAGGAAAGAAATCAACTGCTTAAGGAGAAATATTTACTTACAGATGGCAGTTGTGTCAACTGATTGTGTCAGTTTGAGGAAGAAACACCCAAGTAAACTGGATCAGCATAGTTCTGGGTGTGGCTGAAGGGATTTACGGAAGACAGAAGACTCACCCTGGGTGTGGGTGACAGTGAGCAATGAACTTGCCGCCTGAATGGAAGGGGGAAATGAAGAAGGAAGGCCTGCTCCTGTTTCTTTGGAGGAGCTCCAGTCTTCACCTTCACCTTGGACATTGCCTCCTGGTTTCCAGTGCAGAAACTTCAGCCTCTAGTGCAGACCCTGCAGCCTTTCTTTGCAGACCCTTTGGCCTCATACAGACTTGCACAGGACACTACACTGAGCTTCAACTGGATCCTTTGCATCTCCAGTGTACAGACAGACCTTTTGCACACTTTCATACCTGACTCTGTGGGTGGCCATTGTAAGCCAGTCTTGTAAATTTTTATATATTTGTGTATCTTACATTGAATCTGCTTCTCTAGTAAGCATTGACTGATCCAGCAGTCAAGTTGAGCACTGAACAAAAGCTAAGGTTTTGACAATTGAATACCAGGAATTAGGATAAGAGGTCATTATCAGAAAGAAAATAGAACAAACTTGCAGTGAAAAGAGATATTAAGTAAGCACAGGAAATCCCAATAGTACAGTTATTATATTTTGTCCCATACCAGAGCCCAAATTGCAAAGGTGCTTTGCTGTCTCACTAAGGAACTTATATTGGACAGAAAAGGGATGGGATACAGTTAAGGTTTCAAAGCTACTGTGATAATTATTGCTTGTTCTCTAAGTTACTGGAAACACTCCCTTCCTTGTTGTCTGTTTCTGGTGACTCTCCCCTGAGCAATTAGATTTTGAGTTTTCTGATGGCAGGTACCATCAACATCTTTTTTCACTAGAGGAGTTATGAAGACAAATTCTGAAAAGGTCAGTGGGCAAGAAAAGTCATAGGAGACCAGCAAGAGTCCAGGCACTCTACTAGGTGATGGACATGGTGTAGTGGCAAAACACTGTCCTCAATCTCAAGGGCCTTCTAGTCTGACATAGATAGGATGATTGGTGTAAATTCTTACAACAGAGCAAATACATTAGAAGAAATACAAAGGGTGAGAGCTCTTAAATTCTGCAAAACAAAATTATTTAACTCCAATAGTTATTTAAATTCCAATGGCATTTTTCAGAAGTGTTTATGTACAACATTTTAAGACAAAAAGCAGGCTGAATACAAGTACTTACAAAATACAAGCTGCAACCTGGTTATTTACTCACAACAATGGAGAGTCTCATCTAAAACTTCTTAATGCAGTTACTATGAAGTCCCCTCAGTGAATAATCCAATGAAGATTTTGCTTTTTATGTTCTTTGCCTGTGGCTTTCCGTACTGAAAGTGTTTGAACTGGAGAAACTTAAATCACCTTTCTCTTTCAGTAAGAAGGAATAACCTTCAATTTTCCTTACACACATTCCCACCATCTTCCTCTTAGAACGTTAACCTAAAGTCCCAATTAAAGGCACACACACACACACACACACACACACACACACACACACACACACAGACACAGAGTAGAGCTCACATTAAGGGGCTGATTAAAAATGTGTCAGTGAATCTCCCTTCTTTATCCTATCTAAAGGCATATAGCCTTTTTAATTTTTCATTTGTTCAGTCTTGAGAGTCTGACATTCAGGTTCATTTTACAAATCTGGGCAGTGGAAAATGGTGCTGCTACAAAATCATGAAGAGATATTGCCCCCTTTAGTCATCTATGATAAACAAGGTGCTGATAATCATGGAAGTGCAGAGTTGTAAACAGTGCCTTCGGAAGCATGTAATGGAGTGAAGGACACTGTGGGCACAGTGCTCCCCAATTCCCCTCACAGGGCAGTGCTTGCTGCCCCAGTAATCACAGCACTCTTTCCATCCATGCCTGCCTACTGCTCAGACTCCTTCCTCCTCTTTTATTTTTCATGTAATTCAGCTGTTTGGCTTTCGATTTATTCATCATAATGCCCTGGAGATTAGCTTTGGGGAAGTTGGGAATTTTTTGAAGGCACTGTGTTGCCTTGTTTTCTTGGGGGTTTTTACCCCTAAGGGTTGTGGGTCAATTATAATAAAAAGATTTTGTTGCTAGTATGGAGATCTCTTTGGTTAGTATCATTGCTGGTGAGAATGTAAACTAATACAGCCAGAATGAAAATCAGTATAGAGATTCCTCAAAAAATTAAAAATAGAAATTCCATTTGATTCAGCTATTGCCTTTCTCAGTATCCTGCTGAAAGAGGTAAAGACATCATATTGTAGTGATACATGCATATGCACAATTCATAATAGGTAAGTCTTGGAAGCAGCCTATATGTCCATCACCAGAAGAATGAATAAAGAAACTGTGGCATTAATATGCAATGGACTACTACTCTGCCATAAAGGATAAACTTCAGTTATTCATAGGAAAATGCTCGTACTTTGAGAAAATAATGTTAAGTGCAATAAATGAGATATACAAGCTTAAATATCACATGGTTTCTCTTATAGTATTAACAAATTAAAGGGAAATATAAAAGATAAGAAACAGAGAGGTACATATTTTCCAAATTAAAAGAAGACCAAGAGATGGAGAAAGGGGGAAGGAGGGGAGGGAAAGAGGAAGGAAAAAGAATTATGATGTGTTGTGTACATCTTATGATATATGTGTACACATGGGACATATGGTATGTGTATATATACTGTGATAGCCAACCTGACTCCATTTGTGTAAAGTTGAGTAATTCTGGGTGGTTGCCTTCCCCTTCCCCCTTGGGAGTCCCCTCAGGTAATGCAAGACAGACTGCAGCACCATGTGTGAATCTGCAAATTCATTATCTTTACTGCTTGTAAACAAGATGCCTATGTAAGTCTACAATTATGTTATCTTTACTGCCTTGTAAACAGAAGACCCCACACCTGTGTCATACTTTGCTTTAACTAAACTGTGTGAAACTTCCCCAACCCCCACTAGTTTAGCAGAGTTCTGCCCCTGCGAAACTCCACTTGTGCTCCCCACTCTCTGAGCCCTCCCCAAACAGAAGATCCCTTAAAAGGGCCCTGCTGGTCAGTGATTTAGCTCAGTGGTTTTGTTGCATGCTGCGCAAGCACAAGGACCCAAGTTCGATCCCCAGTACCAAAAAAAAAGGACCCTGCAAACTGCCTTTCCTTTCTCCAGAGTTTTTGGAGGCATAAGCCTGCTCTGGATCAGCTGGCGTTTTTTTTTATGGTACTGGGGATCGAACTCGGGACCTTGTGCTTGCAAGGCAGGTGACAGAACCACTGAGCTAAATCCCTAGCCCTCAGCTGGCTTATTATAAAGGATTCCATTTAATTCAGAGTGTGGCACATCTCTATAGTTCCAACTCGCCTGGCACTATTACAATACCATCTTCCTACAATGAATGTAATCATTATATACTGCAAATATGTACTAATAAAAATTAAAATTAGAGAGATAAAAATGTAATGTAAAATGAGTAGTTTAATTTCATTAATAGATGTTAAAATTGTTTATATGGCTTTCATAATGAAACAAGTATGGTAGGGGATGATGAGTCAGAACAGTAGCAGTGAAGAGGTACATAAAAATATACTCCAAAGCCAATGGAAATTTAATTCATTTAAAATGTTCCATCCTATATCATTGGTTGGTATAAAAATGGGTTTTTAAGGTAAATCATTTGACCTCTTTATATAGTGACTTTCTTTATCTCTTTTTATGTTTTTTTTTTTGTACCAGGGATCAAACTTGGGACCTTGCGCTTGTGAGGCAGGCAGAGGAACCACTGAGCTAAATCCCTGGCCCTTTTCATCTTTTTAAATAGTTTTTTGGTTTAAATTCTATTTTGTTTGATGTAAGTATAGTTAGATGTGTATTTGCTTGGTATCCATTTGCATGCAGTATTTTCCAATTACCTTTACTTTTAGTCTGTGTGTCCCTAAAAAGGAAGGGAGTACCTTGCAAAGGACAAATAATTGGGTCTTATTTTTCAGTTCATTCAATCACTCTATCTTTTGGTTACAGAATAATAATAACTGATAGGCAAAAATTCAGTACTGTCATTTTATAGTTACTGTATAGCGGTAAAGTGGTCAATTCATCAAAAAAATTGTAAATATAGTGCATGGACTCAACATTAGCATCCCTAAATGTATAATGTAAATATTTGATTGATCTGAAGAGAAAGACAATACTGGTAGGAAACTTCAATAACCCACTTTCAACAAAGTTAAAATCAATAATGTATGGATCATCTAGACAGAAAAAATCCAGACAGAAAATAATGAAACACTGGATTTGAACTGTACTTTATGGACTGAAGAGAAATACCTGCATGTGGAACATTCTGAATAACAGCAGCAGAATTCACATTCTTTTCAAGTACATACAGCAGATATTCTCCAGGATGGATCAGGTTCAGCCTCAAAACAAGTCTTATCCAATTCAAGAAGATGAAATCACATCAAATATCTTTTCTGGTCACAATTGTAGAAAACTAGAAATGAATAACAAGAGGAAAAATGGAAAATTCACAAAAAAATGAAAATTAAGCAACATGGTCTTGAAAAACAAATAGGTCAAAGAAGAATTCAAAGAGAAATTTTAAAAATATCGACACAAATATCATACCAAAATTAGTAGGATGCAGTAAAATTAGTTCTAAAAGGCAAGTTTATAGCAATAAGTGACTACATTAAAAAAGAAGAATCAATTGTAAGGAACCTAATGGTTCCATGTGAACAAACTCAAAAAAGAACACACTAAGTTAGTAGAGAAAAGGAAATAGAAACAATTTGAGTAGAAATAAGTGAAATAAAAGCTAGAACAATAATAAAAAGGATTAGCAAGACTATGAGTTGGTTTTTTAAAAAGATAACTTAGACTAATGAATCTCAGATTTTACTACTTCTCCACTTACTGGTACTTTCTATTACATGTTCAGGCATTGAAATATTTCTACATTTTACATATTTGTTTCCATTTCCTTTCTTAGTAAGTCTGATTATATTCCTGAAAGACTGCTTAGGAAAGGAAAACTTTGGAAACCTTACCATTGAAGAAACTTCTTCCTTGTCCCTCTGGAAGATCTATCTTTTCAGGCATCTATTCATCAAATGTTACAAAGGAAGAGCAGAAATTTACCTTTTCAAATGCTTTCTAATAAATTTAATAAAAACTTAACTGATTTAAAAAAATGTTAAACAAAATATTCATAACCAATCAAAGGATTTATATCCTGAGATTTTTAATGTTACTGCTATTTTAATATTTAGGATGAAGTTACTTAAGGTATTATCAACTTGCAGGTTAATTTCACGGAGAAGAAAAGGTCAAATATTTGAGTTAATCACAAGACTAGCTGTCTCCAGTGACAGAAAATTTGGGAATGTTTAATGAATCCTTAATCTGAGCAAATCATCTGAATCCATTTCCAAGGAAAGAAGTAGAGACCAAAAGGAGGGCTAGTAAAACTACTCCTGAAAAATAACTCTTCCTGAGTGAAGAGCATCATGGGTAAATAATATGCAGTCTATATATTGTTTTACAGGCTCCATATTTTCCTACTCCACAAGTCTGCTTATTCTGTCATGTATACTCTTAGGACTACCAAGTGCAAACAGGTGCAAGGCTCTCCGGATGTGTAACCCTAAAAATACAGATGAGTCTCTCTCCCTCTGTATTTATACCCTCCTCTCTTGATCTCTAGAACACTACTGTCTCCTGTTTTTCCATCTTCTCAATTCCTTTTGCAGGATTCTGTTTCCTTTACTTCACCCTTTAAGGTAAGCATCCCCCTTAGGCACTCTCCTGGATGAGAAATAATCCTGCCTTGTGAAATCAGTTATAGTCTGTCCCCTATAATGAATCTAGTGTAACTAATGATTCTCAACCTGTGAAATGGTTATACCTAAACTGAACAAACATCCAACCATGTACTATTTTCAAAGTATTTCTCCTGGAAATTCTTGCAGAATTTTAAATGGATGAAGAATTAAAATGTAGTATCATTCTCTGCAATCTTCTGGTTTGATTTTAACCTTAGGAAGATGTAGTAATTACCCTGCACTTTAATGCTGCTCCTAAATAGCTTTCTGAAGTGCCTTACAATCAATTAGTCCCCAATTTCTACATAACAAGATCTACTATGAGTTAGCAAGTGAGAGCATAATGTGCTTAACATTTCATCCTTTCCGATTAACCTATTACTCAAATTTTGTAACCTAAAATATGGTTACCAGGCTTTTCTGCATTTCTTAGCAGTATGCCTCTATATCCCAGAGCACCATAATAATCTAGATGCCCTGGAAATTATTTCAAAATGATTTTTAAAAATCTTGAAATATTTTTGCCTCAGTCATATTATTCTGATCTAAAATTTTTTTTCTCAATCCAGTGAATGGGAGGCCACGGTTCTGGCTCCACCAGGAGTTCTAAGGTCCAGGCCTAGACAGATGAATAGCAACAGGGTTGCCCAGGATTTATGGGTGGATGGGACTACAGAAGCCAAGATTTTAGTCCTGAGTAAGGGGGAGCATTGTAATTCAGGGGACATTTAAAGAGTCAGGTTGAAAAGAGTGGACATGGGACACCCAAACCACTCGGTATGATGAAGTGAATTAAATGGAAAAAATCCACAAGGCAAACATCATTTTTGTTGAGTTGTCTCAGTTGGGTTAGAATTGGGGGAACTAGAGTATCAATAAAACCCCTAATTGGGTTGAAAATTTTAACACTTCTCTATCAATATTATGATTTACCAATCCTACTGTAGCTATTGAGGTTACAGAAGAGTAAGAAATGAGAACAATGAAATCTGTTGTGATGTTTCTACTCATACTTTAGTTTTGGTGCTTGGAATACATAAGGGAATGCTTGCTAGCTGTCAATTAATGAAAAAGCCTGGGATAGTCTATCAAATAAATGAAAGCACTTGCCGGGATTCCAACTGTGAACAGTAGTTCTTTCTCGTCGTCCATAAAAATAGACTTGATGTCTGTTCAAAATGATGGTGAATTTAAAATTAGGTTTATTTTTAGAATAGTTAGAGTTATGGTTGAAATTGGCTTATTTATTAAATAGACTACATTTATGTAATTTTTTTATCCTTGCTTTATTAAATCAAATTCTTTTGTCTATCCACCAGGAGAACTAAGCTGTTTAAGAAAAATACAAGTAAAATAAATGAAATATCACTTAGAATGTCAATACACTTACAGTAAATTAACAATGCTTATTTACTTGTCTATGTCCCATTAATAGGATATAATCTCCATGAAGGCAAGGCTTTAATCTTTCTTTTTCATTATTATATCCCTAGTGACAAAGATACTACCTATTGCATAGTAAATACTCAACAAATATTTGCTGAAAGCAAGGAAAATTTTCTTATCTTAAATAGTGGGAGGATAGATGACTAATATATAGAATATATAGAGAATTTTTAAAAGTTAGATCTCCCAAAATAAAAGACCCAAATGAATAAACACTTCTCAGAAGAAAGACAAATGGCCAATATATACATGAAAAATGTTCAATATCTTGGCCAGCAAAGAAATGCAAATTAAAACAACACTAAGATTCAACCTTACTCCAGAAAAACATGGCTATCATCAAGAAGTCAATTAATAACAAATGTTGGTAAGGTGTGTGTGTGTGTGGTGGTGGTGGTGGTGGTGGGGTTCCTACACTGCCGGTAGAAATACAAAGTAGTACAACTACTATGGAAATCAGGGTAGAGATTCCTCAAAAAACTAAACATAGAAATTCCACTTGACCCAACTATTCTCCTTCTATATCTTCCTCAAAGAGTTAAAGAAATCATACTACATGACACATGTATGTATACCCGTGTTTACAGCAGGACAACTCATAATAGCTAAAGCTTGGAATTGAACTACGTATCTATCAACAGATGAATAGATAAAAGTGTGGTATTTATACACAATGGAGTACTACTCTGCCATAAAGAAGGACAAACTTCAGTCACTTGTGGAACAATGGATGCATTTTGATATCATAATATTATGTGAAGTAAATTAGACATGCAATCTCAAATATAGCATGGTTTCTCTTATATGAGCAATCAAAAATATAAAGAACAAAATGAAATATAGATAACAGGAAGTAGGGAGATAGGCCTTTCTCAAAGAGGAGGGGATCAAGAGGTAAAAAGAGGGGGGAGAGAAGGGATGAAAATGGGTTGAAAAAAAGGAATTAAGATATGTTATGTACATGTACCAACTCTACACAAGGAATGTAAGCATTATATACTGGAAACATGTCCTAATAAAATGATCTAAAAAATGATAGTGAGACCCTGTCTCAAAAAAACAATAAAATATGCTACAGATTTAAAAAATGAAAAACAGTAGTTAAAAATAGCAAAATTATAATATCCACTAACAGTAAAATGACAAAAATAATGCAAGCTAAATTTTTCAGATTTCACAATGGAGATTCAATGGATTACATAAAGTTAATAAGTAATGAAAAGAAAATAGAGCCATCCAGTTCAAATATATGGTGGTAATCAACAGAAAAACAACAAAAGGGACCATACTAAAAGGATTACTTCTGAGAAAAATGTGTTAGAGTTGGGAATAGAAAAGCTAATTTTTTAATCTTACAATTTTCTTACAGTTTCTTACAGTTTTAAATTTTCCTGACCATATGCATATATTATTTTTATTATATAAAAAGCATAAAACATTTTCTGATAAGTAGCTTAGCATTCTTTTCAATGGTGATACATATTCCAAAGTGCATTCTTATTAAGAGAATAAAATGAACATACTCATTCATGTAAAAGCAAAAGGCACACCAAAGCCACAATAATGCTGTCGTCAATATTGCAACAAGTATCAGCATTATGACTCCAAACATGTCAACTGAAATGTACGAAGAGAAATATATTTTAATAACAAGAGCAGTCATTTTTTACATTTTATCTTTTCTAGTGCAGTCTGATTCTTAAACATTCACAAATCATCATTGAAAATAACAATAGAATAACATGCATCACATGTTTCTATTCCAATAAAACTATCATTAACACAACAATCACCACCAACATGTGAAAATAATCTGGGTTGCTAAAAGGAGGCAACACTGAATCCTTTCTCTCCACTGAAATTATAAGGCTACTGGCTTATTTGTTTCCTTTATTTTTACCCCCGATTTCATTTCTGGCACTGTCACAGATACCATAGTAGTTCCCGTTCCCTCAGGTTGCTGTCCCAAGAAGATGTATATAGATGCCACAGAATGGTTTGCTGTTGAGTGGCAGAAATTCAGTAGCAAATTTCTCTTGCTTATCCAACCCATGCCTTCTGGGAAGGCAAATTTCTAACTCTAGTAAACTTTTTTTCCCTCTCAAGTCTATGTACCTTATTAGGTAGGTAGAGTGTAAAATGAAATGAGAAGAGAAAAGCATGAGATAGGAGACTAGATTTTCTGTTCATGCTAAATTTATGAGACATTACTTCTTCATAAGCTACAAATACATATGAATTATATATACTACATAGTGCCGAAGCACATAAATAATTGAGTGCAAAATTGTATGTTCTCTCTTCAATTAAGAAAAAAGCAGACAACTGGTTGTTCTAAATTAGGTTTTCCAATATAATTAGGGTTCAACTAGAAAGACTGTTGTTTCAACTTCTCTGAAAAACTCCTTAAAAGACACTGGTACCTTTTCCTGCCTTGATAAGTACCCTAAAACATACAAAAACCATGACATTACAGAAATAATTTAAAGATTCTTCGATGATTGACATCTGCTCAGTCTTAGGGAGCCATCACTCTGAATGGCAACTTTAATATAAACTATATTAGCTGAGGAAATATTTTATAACAACACTACTGGGTTCAGCGTATCCTCGCTCCAGGACTAATGCATCAGAAACTCTCAGAGTTCCTAAAACAATACAAAAACATAAACATCCCTTAATGAGGCTATGCATATCATATGTCAGAGGTTTTCAGACATGAAAGTTAAAATTTTTAACAGTGGAATAAATGGAAAGGCACACACCAATCAGAACCAGTGTTAATCTAAATCAACACTGGATGGAAATAACCAGTAAACCTGTATCAAAGAGAAACACCAATGAGCAGCCCTGGACTTGCTATATTTTAATAAAGCAAATATAATAATTTAAAATCCTCCAAATGCATATAGCAAATCACTGGTATTTGCAAGTCAATTGAGTCAAAATATATGAAATTTTAAATAAGGACAACTCACCTCTACAGTTTGCCCAATACATAGAACTGATACTACAGCCATGATATGGAAAACAGTATTTTTTGCAAATGCGCTCTTCACTGCACCAAATACACTGTATTTGGAAAGAAAAAAATAGCACTGTCAAATTTAATAACCACAATAACATTAAATTTTTAGCACTAGTTCAGAAAGTATTCAGTAAAGTATTCACCATCATTGTTACCTGTTACCGTTATTATTCACAGTAAATACCCACTGGCGACCTGCCCAGGTCCTCTTTACCTCACTCATGCACCAAAACCTCACCTGTAGTAAGTGTTAGCTGCCAGTGGCTCACAACCTCTCCCCTCCTTGAATGATGGCTCTTGGGGATGAGGACCTCCTTGTCCTCAAGATTCCCATCCCTCTAGGTCTGTATCTGATTGGTATGGGGTCCCTAGCAGTGGGCATCCTTGCCTCAAGTCAGGGACAAACCTATGTGATTTTTTGCCCAAAGATTACCAATAGCTCACAACAAATGTGGGCTTTAGCTGAGAACTAATTTTTTTCTTGGTTCTTGTCCCTTATTTTCCCAAAATCTCTCATTTTTTTCACAGTATTTTGCTAAGCAGAAATAACGCAAAAAATCACATACACCCAAATCCCTTTCTCAGACTTTGCATTTAGGGAATTAAACCCAACCTACTATTTCACAAAAGAGTAACAAGGACCACATTAGACAGTTTTTAAAATATCCCCAACACTCTCCCATGCCTCTTGTTTGCAGCGTCCTCTGGGAAATCTTTTGCTGTCTCATGTGGCCCTGCTGGTGCTGTCAACAAGCCTTACTTTACCTCCACCCACCTTCGGCTCACTAGTGGTCAGACAATCGTGTGAAAGTGGGAAAAATGGATTCTAAGATCCTTGTTGAAGTAGGCAAAAGGAAGGCAAATGGTGAAAACTACCACGGAAGGTAAGACTAGAAATAGAATAGCAAAACAAAAAACAAAAAAAACAAAAAAACAAAAAAAAGAAATGAGGACAGAGTAGTGAAAATGGCTGTAACATAGGACCAATTGTGTGACATGTATAGTTCTAAATCTTTTGTATATATTATTAACTTGCTTCATCCTCATGACAACCCTATGAGCTAGGTACTATTATGTCCATTTTACAGATAAGGATAATGAGGCACAGGGTAGTTAAATTACTTACACAATATTGCCACACACCTAGTAAACAGGGGAGCCTGGACTATAGCTTAAGCAGCAGCTTTGTTCTGTGCTGGTAACCAATATTGTAAGACTGTGCACCCCTCCGAGTCATTTCTTGGTGTGCATCTGAGACCAGCAGGGGTGATGATTTGCCCAATGTAAGAATCACCTCCTTAAACACTGCCCAAGAACAGGAGTTATATCTTTTGTTTCATGTTGGCCAAGATCAAAGGTCAAGTTAAGCCATTAGGCAAATCTAAAGCTGAAACAAAGCATCCCGTCCTCTTAGATTACTGCTTAAAAACTGGAATTGTAAAGACAAGGCCTAGATTAAAGGCCTGTAGCCTAGAGACTTCTGGCCTTGGTTATTAGTTCTCAGAGTATTCTAGGAGTCAAGTCCAGGTCATCTCAAAGGGAAATATTAAGGGAAATAAATTGCCAGAATGCACCTGAAATGAGCAGGAAGGAGCTTGTGGTTACTTAGGTGCTAAGCTGATTCCCCAGTAACCAAGACCACAACATATGAGCTGCTGAGGCAAGAGGAGATATTCACTGTTACACTTCTCTCGAATGGGGGCTCAGAGAACACTGGATAAGGAGCTCCTTCATTAGGCAAAGTGGGGGGCAGCCAGACAGGTGACTAACCTCCTGATTGCTCAGCCAGGGAAGCTCAACATAGTATATGATAGACTCAATTTGTTAGAGGACCATTGGCCACTGGGAGCTTTTATTGTTGTTATCCTGCTTTCTCTTTCCATTGAATAGTGGGCTCCGGGGTGTGGTTTAACCGATTGCATAGCTGACTTGGAAGAGCTTGGAGCATAAGGAGCCATATTCAAACATGATCGAAAGTAACACACATCTATCTTTCTGAGCCTCCAGATTTAGAAATAGAGTCAGCAGCTGACAGAAACTTTTGATAAGTACAATTTTAGTTGAGGATTAGTTGTGGTGTTTTGTCAGTAACAATTTTTAAAGCATGGGGATGGAGAAAATAGAATATGCATGACTTGAAAGGGCAAATGGTAAAATATAGTACACTGAAAAGGTTTATTTCTTTAACCTTTGCCTGTCCATCTTGGATCCCCATTCTTCTTCTGGTAACCAAACCTTTTCTTTGTGAACCTTTCCCCCAACTCTGTGTGGTCCTACAGCTGTCAATCAATTTTGCCCTTTCCTATCACAAGAATGGTCATTGGCCCAGGCAGTAGCATTCAGGGTAGCATGTCCCTCTGACCCAGTAACTGGTCCTTGATGGAACATGAGACCTAATTGGGGCAGATGGAATCCTCTTTGGAGTTATTTAGAGACATTAGGGGAGAGCTGCAGGAAGCCAGCCTCTTCTTCCACTGTACAGAGAATGTCCATTTACTATGGAAAAAAATGAGGTCAGTACAGAGAAGTAAAGTCAGGAGATGGAAGGACAAAGGGAAATGGGAGTAACATCCTTAGAGACTGAGCTAATCATGAAGCCAATTTTGTGAGCCAATGAATTCCCCTTTTTATGAGTTTCCTTTGGGTTTCTGTCACCATAAAAAGATTTGATACCTTAAATACTTTAAGTCTAAAGTCCTCAAAGACAAAACTTCACATTCATTGCCCAGAGGAACAGTATAATTTATTTGACATCCTTATATTAGTAATGTATAATTTAGGATAAATTACATGGATTCTTTTTTCTTGTATCTAAGGAAGAAGATCCATATAAATATGAGGTCTTGCCAACTTCAAACAAGGAAATAAAAAAGGTTCTGAGTTTGTGAATGTGTATGAGTTTCTGAATATAATGCTTTCAAAGAGGCAAAGATGTAGAGATTAGCCTTGGAAATGAAAATAAATTTCTTAAAGCAAAAGAGACTGTAAAGGAAAAGACATTAAATTGGTTCAGAAGAAAAATGAAGGAACTTGAGCCTGACAGATACCATATATTTCACAAGGAAAATCAAACTCCAAAAGGAAGGTCATGCCAAGAGCAGGTAGGATGTTGGACAATAGTTGCAAGGGAAAATAGTCCACGATATTGGATCTCTTCTCTTCTTCCCTTTCCTTCCCTTTCTCTCTTCTCTTCCTTTTCTTGTCTCTCTTTCTCTCTCTCCCTCCCTCCCTCCCTCACTCCCCTGGTCCTCTCCTTCTCTCTGTCCCTGTCACTCCCTCTCTCCATCTTCTTGTTAGCTTAGGAACTTTTAACAGGTGATAGCCATATATTCACTGACATATCCAGATCTGGACCCATAACCCTGCCCACCTTACCTTGTGCCATGCTCTAAGACACAGGCATAAACACACACACAATTTTTCAGAAAAATAAATATTCAAATAGGTATCTTTGTAGGGTATGAGTTACGGCATTCATAGACAGATTTTACAAGTATATGGTAATAGTAATTTTCCATGAACTATTCAATAGGTAAGCTAGGCTGTTAGAGATTTACAATTTCCAATCTTGACCAATAATATATATCAGATGCAATGAGTGAGAAGGATTTGATTATGGAGAAAACCTAGGGTCTACTCTGATTTATTTTTTAAAATAAATTTCAAAACTCAGTCTTATAATTCTCATTAGGCAAAATAAAAATTACTTATGATAGTCTCACCATTGTGACACCATACCTGAGGGCTATCATTTCAAGGATTCAACAGTGATGTATAACGACTGTAAATAGCAACAAAAGCCCAGGTAAAAGAATGTTTAAACCTGTTTGGCATGAATTTTGAAGTTTTCTTTCTAATGGAAGATAATGTATCAACAAAAATGTTCTTCACGTGCTGTTTTGATGAATAATGTGTTGAGGGGGGTTGAGCTGTACATAAGTTGCTTTCTATGGATTTGTTTTTGGTAAGAATATTTTCAAATTCTAGAAAGGAAGGTCCTATACTATTAAATCACAAGGAAAAGTTTGAAAAAGAATCTAAGGAAGATTCCCTTACAGCTGAAGAGGATAAGGATGCAATTTAAAATCCAAACTATAATATCTGGGGAAATTAGGAGTTGGTATAAATACTTTCTCTCAATCAATGGAGCAGTGGACATAAAGTGAGACAGTCCCAGGGCATACTACAAAATCTGTTCTTCTTAATCTAAGAACAATTCAACTATCCTTAGTTTCTTCATAAACAGCCATCTATAAACCCAGGCACTCTCTGTGAGAGTATAGGAGGGGGCAGAAACTGTCAATGAACAGGACAGGGAAACTTTTTCCAAAAGATGGCTCCCTAATTCTATACTGACTATGTGGAATTATCCCTTAGTTCATTTCTTTGAGGTACTGGGAATATTTTAAAAATTACACTCAAATCCACATATCCCCAGAATTGCCATAATGGGTTACGTTTGGAAAATTTTAAAGATAAAATTTTCTATTTTATTACATTAAAGAGTATATAAAATGTAATTTAATCTTCTAATGGCTTAAAAGTTCATTCAATAGTTATTGAATGCTTGCCATGAGCTCGGAAATGTGTGAGGTGTTAAAGATGTAGAGATGAATAAAATACAGCCTTTATCCTCAGGGAACCAAGAACCGAAGAAAGGTGAAAATAAAAACAATTTATATTATATGAGTTGCAATTCCAAAATGTATGTGGTTAAGTTCAAATGAGAAGTGTAGGAGAAGTGGAGAAGATATTCCTCCTCTGAGAGGAAGAATAAGGATGGATAAAAATGACAGCAATTCTATCAATTTCAGGGGTGAAATTCACATTTTGAGCCTCTCTTTCTAAATATAAAATCAGAGATAAAGTTATCTGTTGAGATTGATACAGTGAGATAACACTGGAACTTTAAAGATAGTGATAAAGTTTTGAAATTTCTGCTGTGGGATATTTTAGGAAACACTGCTAACCAAAGGCAAGAAGTGGATAGGATTTGAGCTCAGGTGAGCTCAGAAATTATGAATTTGTTGTTGTACTAATGTGGACTTTAATGTAATGTGCTTGAGCAGCAATCAGCTAATAGTGCACAGCAAATGAATAGATAAACTGAAGGACCAATCAGAGCTGGGAAATGTAGATCCAGCACAGATAAAAATAAGAAGACAAGGCTAGTAACTGATGGTGTTTTTTGCAACTTCCAAGGATATAATAGATCCAGGCCAGGATCATCACTGATAGCTAAAATCACTAAATGCTGGACAACAATCCTTTTTTTTTTTTTTACCATCTAATGCAAGTCTTCAGTATGATATATATATATATGTGTGATATATGATATATATATATATATATATATATATATATATATGTCTGCCAAAAAGTTAAACAGAATCTGATGATCAATGCTCTTTATCTAATTATCAGTTTGTAAGAACAAAGAACAGGGAAAAGAGGAACAAGATAAAGCCTCTTATAGGAATGTGGATGTCATTAGTGAAATCCAACTACAGGAAATGTAATGTGCAAACAATCCAGTTTCTGCAACAAGTAAATTGCAATAAAAAAGGGAGGGTAAAGGAAACTAGATCAAAATAGACTTAAGCTATGTATCAGCCAAGTGCAACTTATGAATCTGATTTAAACAAAAATGTGAAAAAAATATATTGATTATTTCTTGAGTGGTTAATGATGTTAAAAAGTTATTGTTAATTTCTGGTTGTGATCGTAGACTTGCAATATTTTAAAGTCAAGTCTTTAATATGTGTATATATATATTATATTTATTTGTGATATATAAATATCACAAATAAAATGGTATGGTATCTTTATCATTATTTTCTTCAAAGTAATCCATTTTGGGAGGGAGGGCATACATGAAACAAGGTTTGCCAAGATGGTTCTTGGAGATATGAAGTTTTATTATTCTGTTTTCTCCTTTTTTCTCTCTCCCTCTATGATAGGATTTTCCTGTGGTGTCCGGACTCGCCTTGAACTCCTGATCTCAAGCTATCCTCCTACCTCAGCCTCCCAAATAGATTAGACTCCATGGACTGCATCATAGTGAAGGTTTCCCAATGTTCTTGCATGTTTGAAATTTCCAACTTAACATTGGGACACTTAAAATTAAAAAATGAAAGAATATTCAAGTGAACAGCCATGAGAATTCATGGGAAGATAACGCATTATGGGAGGGTTAATAACCCAAGGAAAAATGAAGGGATTAAAGGACTAGAGGACAATCCTATCTTGTTGAGGCCCAGGAGTAGGTACAGTGTGTTAGGAAATGAAAAAGTAACAGCCTATGTAGAATGTGCAGGGTCCACGGTGTGCTGTGGGAGAGATGTTCTATTTCATAGGGTGAGCAAGTCAGGACACTGTGAGACTGGTGTGTTTGGGCCATTGTTGCTCAGGGAAAACATGGAAGGTTTATGGTATGAACTGGGGCGGAGAATTTCATGAGCCAGAAGCCCAGGTCCTCATTAAAGCAGACAAGTGACCAAGAGGAAAAAAGAGGCAGAGTGGTGGATCACTGTAATAAATGCCAGGTACATGGGGTGCCCTTTTCTCATTAGTGATCTTTGTCTTTGTCTCTGGTGTTAGATCACCAATAGCAGTTAGACTAGAATGATTTTGTAAAGGTTGTTCCAAAGCTCTCAATGGAACAAAGTAGAAGCATTTCCCTCTTTATTTCAGATGTTTCTGCCTTCTTCCAAATCCAGAGTGAAAAATAATGATGTCAGACATTTTATTCAATAGAGAAGGGACCCAGGTCTCTTGTGGTTAATGAACAGTGTGTCGCTCTTTTTGGTCTGTGGGGTTAGAAGTGGCAAGGAAATTTTCACTGCATCTCAAAAGACATATTTTTCTTTACTTACAACACATTCTTCCCAAGTTTCAGTGTGATTTTCTTTTTCAAGACAAGAATTATTTTCCGTTTGAAGTATGATTTTTTAAAGAAGAAGTACGTTTGGAATTCAATTATTTCTTTGTTTATTCTAGAACATCAGAGAATGATTTGAAATGGAGAAATCGACCTTATTAATTATTAGTCATTCCTGTTATAAAAATTTGGATAAAACAAAGTTTAGCATATTTTTAGATGGTAACTCTAAATGTGTGAGTTTATAACATTCCCAAGATAATTTCCTCATAAGAAAATTAACTTACTTTCTTATCTTCTGTGCACAATTGACAGTTTCTCTTTTGAGCACATGCTGAAAGAAAAAAAAAATTTAAGTACAAAATGTAAATCCAAAGCCTATTGCTCAATTTGATTTAAAAAGTACACTGCATTCCTTCATTTGTTTCAAGCATATTCATCCACACTCAAGGATTTTACTCCATTATTTTCATATATCTAGATGTTCTTCCCACCAGCCCTATTTAAATCTGATCTCATTTCCTCTTGTTACTTGGAAGAACATGAAATGGCATCATTCTAGATTGATTAGGGAAATTCTAAACAACTTCTTCCCATCACCCACCCCCAAAATGAAAAAACAAACTGGCAACATCATATGCATTTAAAATATGGTACTGTAAAAACCTCTTTTAGATAGCTCTTTTGTAAATAAAAGGGGATAAAAAGATGGAGGAAGGGGCCGAGGATTTAGCTCAGTGGTTCCAGCGCCTGCCAAACAAGTGCAAGGTCCTGAGTTTGATCCCCAGTACCAAAAAAAAGAAAAAAAGATGGAGGAAGGGGAAGGTAAGGGGATATAAAAAGAATGAAGATGTGTCATGTCCATGTACTAAATCCCCACAATGAGTGTAATCATGTGCTGCAAACATGTACTAATAAAAATAAAAATCTTCTTTTAGTAACTTTTGTTATTCAAGGTACTCCTGGTTAACTAATTAGTCCTTTAATTGGTAAGAAAATAATTTTTCAGCCTACTCTGGCACAAAGCTTTAAAAACTTCCCCCAAATGAAGACTTTATTCTTGTTTTGAAAAAACATAAACAGTATAACATATTTGAAAGCTCTAGGATGAAAACTGACTTTGGGAAAAGGCATTTTGATGGTACATTTAATTGTTCTAAAGTTTTCTTGAAAAAGGTCTGGAATTAGTGCCATAGTTATTCTGTGATACAGTAACAATAAGGTCACTCTACCTATTATTTGGGGAAACAGTTTACAGGCTCTGTGGGAAAGTTCAGACTTGTCTACTTAACTTCAAGGTATTAGGGTGCAGATCTGATTTGGCTAAGGAAAAGCTTACAGTTCAGTTTTCAAATCAAGTCCTTTGAGTGTTATTTCCTCCTGACCAACAATATGCTTGAAGCCCCCATAGGAGAGCTGAGTGGAAGAAAAAGCAAGGTAAAAGGAAGAGATGCTACTGTGTCCCCTCCGTCAGAATACCTGACAAGAGCAGGAGGACAGTTGGCACATGGCTTGACTTCCATTCCTCAAACTGTTCGCTTCCCACAGCTTTTTGGTTAACTGAAATTTTTATTTTGGAATGATTTCAGATTTACAGAAACAATATAAAGATTATATACAGTGTACTTGTATACCCCTCACCCACTTGTCCCAATTGCCACCATTTTATGTTATTATGGTACATTTATCAAAACTAAGAAGCCAATATTAATGCATTGGTTTTAACTAAACTCCAGATTTTATAAAGATTTCATTAGTTTTTAGGCTGATTTCCTTTTTTTGTTTCAAGATCCCAACCAAGATACCACATTTCATTTAGTCATCATGTCTCCTCTGATTTGTGACAGTTTTTCAGTCTTTCCTTGTTTTTTGTGATCTTGGCAGTTTTTATGAGCACTGGGCAGATGTTTTATAGGACACTCCTCAGTTCATACTTATTTGATGTTTTTCATTTGATTTAACTGGCACTATGGGTTTTGGCAAAGAGCCACTGCAGAGGTGAAGATCCTTCCTCAACATGTCAGTGAATGGATTCCTATGGGCCCATACCAGAGGCTTAGATTGAGCATTTGTGTAATTAACTAGCAATCTTCTTGATAGTCATTATTGTCTTCCTTGGAAAACCAATGAGAGGCAGTCATCTCTGTGCTACATGCACCTGCAGGTTCTTTCTTCTGTTCTCTTCCTGAAGAAAGAGGTAATAGCTATTTCTATGGTATTTTTAGGTACCAGATTCTTCACACTAAAAGACCTAATGTTTGTGTTTCTGTCTGGTTATTTCCTTCCTTTTGCCTACATTTGTTATGACTTCTGCAGCATTATTCTCTCCTAGCTCTCTCTGGCCATTCTTTTTGTTTCCTACCAATATTGAAACATCTTTGGCTCTCTCTTCTCTCATGAAGGGTCATGATTCAAAATCCTGAGATGTCTGGCATCAAAATATATTATGCTATATATAAAATCAAATGTTTTCATTGGTATTGCAATGACAAATTAATAATTAAATATTAATATTAATTAATAAAGTTATCTGGAAAGGAAACTTTTTAAAGAACAGCCATGAAAAAATAACAAATAAGATTCTATATTGTAAAAGTCTCTATATTGCACTGTTATGATTTATTTACTTGATCTGTTGACTTCTGATGCAGGTACATAAAGTGAATTCATGGAGTTTTGAACTTGTCAAATGCTTTCTAAAATTTCTATCAGTTTTTGCTGTATCTATTTCAAAGCTATGCTGTTATGTGAATAAAGGTTTATAATATGTTATCTTGGTGTACTGTAATATATGTCAGTACAGAATATCATTTGTAGTTCTAAATGATTTTGAAATTTTAGTTTTATCTAATATTAATATTATTACACTTGCTTCTTTAGAAGCATTTGCAAGCTATCTTATACTATCAATTTAATCGGTGTTCCTTTATTTCCTCTAGTTGTTTCAAACCCACACAGCCTTTTTCTAGTGGTGATCATCTTTCTATCATTTCCTAAGATCGACATTCATCGCTGGCTTGGGCAATTGCCTGTACTGCCTCTACTGCCTGTTTCTTGAGACAGTTAAAAACATGGAGGGGAAATTAGTGCTCCGATTACCACTCTGACAGCTGCTCCGAAACTCCCTCCTGTTCTTTGTGTTCACTCCTGCTGAGCTTGGAGAAATTGCAGAACTGCTCCTATCTTTGACAGTAGTTCTTTCCTATCTGTGGTTTTCTCCATCAGTCCAATCGCAATGCCTTTCTATCTCTCAGAGATTCCTGGCATTTTATGGCCCTTGTCTTATTTTCCAGCCCTGTCATTTGAGGAAGATACTGTTCTCATTTTACTGATCGGGAAACTGTGGTACAGTAGGCATGGACCGAGTAAGTGACAAAACTGGAAGATGAGTCCAGGCAGTCTGAGCCACTGCCCTTTCATCTCTGAGATTATCTGCTTCTCCATGAAATAGGTACTGGTTAGAAAGGCACAAATAAAATTCAGTACATCAAATTCAGTACTGCTGAATTTAGTACTACTCAAATTCAGTAGATCAAGGGAGGCATCATAAAAGAGATAGAATTTTATCTAAGAGGTATAATCAACAAATAGTGAAAGTTTAAATTTTAAAAAATTATTACAGGAGAAGACACACTGGCACTAATCTCCCTCATAACCCCCCATACACACACACATACACACTTATCCCAATATTCTTGTCACTTTCCAAAGCAGCTCTGGAAGTCCTCTTTTGTGTTTTTAGCTGTGCTATTGTGACTGCCTCAATGTCCTGAATCAATTCAAAATGTTTATATTTCACAGTCATTTTGACTTTCAGAAAAAGCCAAAATAACACGGGGCTGATGAATAGGTGAATGAGGACACACCACAATGTTTTTATGAACCTGCTTTTCTGTTGGATGGCAATAAGCTTCAACATTCACTATATTTTGTGGCTGGAGATTTAGATCAGTGGCACCATGCCTGACTCACAAGTGCAAGGTCCTGAGTTTAATCCTTGGTATCACAAAAAAAAAAACAACCCAACCAAACAAAGAAAAATTCACTATATTTTTAAATCACACATTGTAAAGATATATGAGGACTTCCAGAACTGCCTCAGAAAGCAAGAAAAATGGTATAATTGTATTTGAAGCAAGGGTGACTATTTTGAGTGGGATTAATGGCAATGTCTTTTATTGTAATAAATTTAAACATTCACCATGTACGTAGATCACACCTTGTAGGTCTCTCAATATCAGAATTCAGCTTTATGTCACAGTTCAGCATAACTCCAAATCCCCCATTTTTGCTAGTGGCAGAAAAACTTAAACCTGAAAATTTCAAGTTCAGTCAATAAAATTCAGCCTCCTTTGAGTAAATATTTAGCTAACCTGAGGGCTTGGTGGGCAATTCTACACTGAGTACGATCTGTTACTTGTTAGAGCACAAGGAGGGATGCAGGTGAGATTTTCAATGAAGGCTTAGGATACCTTTCTATATCTAAGAAGCCACATCTTTGTTAGATGGGAATGTTAAACGCAAGCCCAAAAGGAACCTTGACTGAGACTAGGAAGCAAAGAGTCAGGGAGCTGATGACAAGTTGACTCACACTTCCCAGGCAAAGACAAGCTGTTTTTCCCCAGAGGCATGGACCAAAACTGGTCAGCCCTAGGAATGAGCTAGCTGAAACCGGAAACTTTGGTCTTTGGAGACCAGAAAAGTTTATCTATGACTTTTCATTTGTTTTATATGTTTACTTACTTTTTGTTATTCTTCAGCATTTTAATAAAATCTTTTGAAAATTTTTCTGTATGACTTCATTTTGCTAGGGAATGAAGGGAATAGTGTGTTTCTATGCTTTGCCTGTATTTAAAGTACTGTTTATAAGGAGAGGGGGCCAGAACTGCACCAAACACAGTTTCTCTTGAACTATGTAGGGGAGTGACCAGGAGGTTAAAACAGAAATGTATGGGGCAAATGAAGTCACAGGAAACAAGTTAGCATTCAGCCTCTGCCCAGCCCCTCCCCCTAAAGGAGATTCTAATTTCACTGCAAAGCTGAGAGCTGACCCTTTGGGTTTTAGCAAGGAAGCCTGATTTTCTTAAACGTACTAACGTTGTTTTATACTCTGGAAAGGCAACAAAAGTAATTATTCTGTCTTCCCAAGAACAGTATTCTTGGCTTTACAGCATATTTTCAGAGTAATTCAAATTCTTTCTCTATTTTTTCTATACAATTCCAATTTAGGATATTAATAAAACCTTATTTCCAGGTTCATGAATTCAACTCAGCATGAATTGTAACATTTCAAAATTTAGCTAGGGAGGAAAACTACAGGAATCCTCCAAACTGAAGGCATTAGTGCTTAAGAAAAAACTCAGATTATCTGGGTGAGGTGACACACACCTGTAATCCCAGCACTCTGGGAGGCTCAGGCAAGAGGATCCTAAACTTAAACTCAGCCTAGGCAATTTGGCCACTTAGCCAGGCCTTGTCTAAAAATTAAAAACAAAAAGGCCTGGGACTATAGTTCAGTGCAAAGGCCAGGTTCAGTCCCAAGTACCACAAACAAACAAAAGCAAAGCAAAACCAAATTGAGTAATTTATTAGCTGAGACCTTAAACCCTAAGAGAAAAGAGCTACGGTTATTGGATGCGATCAGATTAAAACAAACCCCAGTGTCACCCTCACCATGAAGTTTGTTAGAGGTCATGCAAAGAAAAAAACAAGGAACAAATCATGCTTTTTTCAAATTTAAACGGGTTTTACCCCCTTTTTATGTTTCAGATAAAGGAAACTAATTTGATTCCAACCTAACGTTGGCTTCTCCCTAAACATATAGAGCCTTTAAAGATGTCTTCCTCCAAAACCAAGCGGCAACTTCTGAGATGGCAGTTGCGGAAAGCCAGGAGGGCACCGCTGCAAGATAAATCATGGTGGTGCCTGTGCAGTAATCACCTCTGGGGTCTGGAATACTCACCCTCCTCAATCTCACTGTTTCTTGTCTGCTTGGTCCTTTGGCTGAAGACGTGGGAAAATCCATTACCTGAGAAATTGGTAAGCAGCTGGATGAGAAACAGGGAGAGGAAAATTGGCAGGAAGAGCTGGCCCCATCTCCTCCACCAGCACATGGCTCCTCAGCCTGGTGAATGTGGACGTCACTGGTACTGAGCTGGACAGGTAGTCCCTCCTCAGGGACTGGGACCCATCACGGCCCCGGGTCCTGAGACTGGCTCTTCTGAGCCCTGGACTCCAGCATAATGAACAGAGCCTTAGAACCCTAATGTTCCAGCTAGAATGTGGAATGCTGGCAATGTAATCCCGGTCCAACCGGGCTCAGGCTTCCTGGCCCAAATCTCATCACACACTCTTGGTCCGCTGGATGCAATCGAGGTTCATTTGACTTCAAATCCCATTTCTCCTTTCATGCTATTCTGCTGTTTTCGAGAAAGAGCTGGATTCTAATTTCCACTACTGCACAGCATAATAAAGCAGTTGTGCTTTTCTGGGGGCCTTTCCTGAGGTGTAGATGAACTTATCACCTACCCCTCTTCAGCAGGGTAGTGTAGCAGACATCTCTGCCCAGTAAAAGCAGGCTGTAAATAGCACAAACTTCTTACCCCTCTATAATTCGGCTACATTAAATTAGGAAACCAGGGCCTTGCTGAGTTCACTTCTAGCCAAGGTCAACTTGATTCAAACTAAATTCTTCCCCTCTGAATTATTCATCTGTCCTCTTCAGCAAAGACATGCTAGTTCCTGCTTCTCAGAGTCCTGCCTGCCATACCCACTATCAGCAGGTGTCCAAGCTCTACCCTGCTCCCCTCTCTCCCATGTTTGTGATGAATAAACACTGGGTGTCCTTGGTGCTTCTGTCTTTGCTGCCCAGAGCAGCTTAGATCAGCCCAAGACCCAGCTTCTGCTCTCAACTTTGTGTTTTGTCTTTTGTTCTCTCTTTCCTATCTCGTGTATGTTGTCAATCTCATAGGAGACTGAGACCCATGGCCGGGGCTCTCAGTGATGTCCTCTACTGCCGTCAGTAAGTGGGCATGCCATGAAACTTGCAGCTCTGGAAAAATCCTGGACCTTGTCCTTGACTAGTCCAGACACCCTTCTGTTGTGCTGTAATGTGGTCTCCTAATGTTTCAGTGGTAGGCAGATGAGTACTTTTATATTCATAGTTATATATTTTAATGTGTATTAGAAAAATATAAGTAGCAATTTCAAAGAAGTAATTGAAACAATATAAACTTTCTTTTAGAAACAAACCTAAGTAAAAAAAATCCATTTCAGAAACATTAACAATAGTATACAATTTAAATGGTTTGGCAAGAATTGGGGAGGTGGTTTCAGAATGACTAAAATTTAAGCAATATTGCCCCAATGTGAGTGTGGAGATGTTATTGTTGTGGGTGATAGGGTCCCAGGATAGGTTTTCAGGTTCTTGTGCATGATGAACAAAGAATAAAACATTACACTAATGATAAGAAAAAAAGCAGCTAAGTTTAATTAGGCAAGGGTATACTTACTATGCTCAGAATGAGCAGACACATGCTGTTGGAAAAGAAAAATGCCCCAAGAAGAAAGGAAAATGGCACAAATATGGATTAAGTAGGGCTTAAGGATTTGAAATGTATGCCCAGCCTAGACTGCCTCCCACTGGGTCTTTCAGGGAATGATTGACAATGGCATTGACAGGGTGCTGAGTCATACCAGTTGTATCTACTGCACATGTCCTTTCCTGTAATTTATTGTTATAATTGGATGTATGAGATGCAGTCCATATGTATGAACCTTTAACAAGTTCCAAGTGAAAGAAGGTATTGTAGGTATTCAGGCAGGTCTAGCACACATGCACTCTGGGTTGGGTTTTTGTAAATTCCAGGGCTTTTTGTTATTCTTATTTCTGCCTCTAGGTAGTGTCTTAAGACAAAGATTAGGGGGGTTAACCTGGGATGTTGTTCAGCTTCAGGTGAGTGGAGGGGGGGTATGGTCCCACAGCCCCTAACTATACTATATTAAAGAGAGGTAGAGGGATGGATGATGAAATCTTGTTCTTGACCAGGACTCATCTTGTTTTGTTTTCAAAAATTAATGATAGATATATCCCACCTTGCTTTCTCCAGGGTGTTATGTTGCTTTTTCCTCTTTTACTTGGCCCAAGCTCACTCTGCAGAGCCAGTTTCTCACTCTTCACTTTTACTTTTTCAAATAAACTTTTTTACTGTTTCTCGAAAAAAAAAAAAAAAAGAATGATGGAAACTGGGAATGGGTGTGAACACCTATAATCCCAGCACTCTGGGAAGCTGAGGCAGGAGGATCCCAAGTTCAAGTACCTCCGTAACTTAGCAAGATCCTGTCTCAAAATAAAAAATAAAATGGGCTGGGGGTGTGCAAAAGAAATGGACTTAGTCCCCATTATTGAAAAAAAAAAAAGATGGCAATTTCTCATCATTCCTGGCATGGTGATCTAGCCTGTGCCCTGAGGATGATGGATGGGAGCATTGACAGTAGTACCCCTATGAGCATAACACTGGGTTTCACAAACACATCCCTTACTTTTCTACTGTAAATTTTTTACTTTAGCGTAATAGTACCTGGCTATGTGTCACAGTACCTTTCCCTGAGGGATACAGGAGCAATTTCTGTGTTTACTCACTGGGTAGGATGAACAGCAAGATGTGTGCCTGTGTGCAAAAGTGTCAAACTGGGATTTTCACCCATATGATGCTCCATCTAACAGGTTTTATGAAAGTTTACCTGAGCATCACAAAGGATATAATATACCCATATCACTGTAGAATTTTTTTTTTTTAGTTTTCTTTTGATTTTTCTGGTGGAAGTAGTCCAATTTAGTACAGTGGCACATGAAAAAACAGATTTGCAAGTTTTGGCGGAGGTCAAAAGTGAATCATCATATTACTCATGCATGGATGATCAAGATGATCCATTATGGTAAAATAAATGTTTTCCTAACAGAAGAGTGGTGTGGGTATGTGATGATGATGATGATGACGACAACTTTGACACTGGCCATATGAGCTAAAGTTCCTATGACAGTGAAATGGAGCAAGAATCGACTGATACTGACACAGGGAATATACACCTCCTCGATTCAAATAATGAAGAACACAGAAATGAACACAGTACATATTTAACTAGTTGAAATGTTGCAAAATGGTGACACAACCAAATGCAAGGATCCAATGTTAGAATTAGGTCTGAAAATATAGTGACGGTCTTGGCAGGAGTGAAATGTATTGGACAGAATGTCAGCACTGCCATTCAATGTTGGAAATTGTAACAGGAAATGCTACAGGATGCTGTGAAATACACAAAGGCTGAAATACAAGTAAAATGTTCTGTATGTACCAATGGTCATATTAAAAAATATATTTTTATGACATCTCACTAGCTTAACTGAAACCATTCATAGGTTGGGTATACTTAGCAGGGATTTCTTATGGTAATAACAAGAATGTAAAAGACTTGTGGAAAAGTAATGGGTCAAAATCTGGCACAAAAATTTATGCCCTTGTAGGTGTGAAGACTTATTATGCTTTTGATTTAGAAATTTATCCTGGAACTCAGTCATCAGGTCCTTATTCATATAGTAATAAACCAAATGATGTTGTGAAGAGCCTTGTTGCTCTCATCTCCCAAACTAATTGGAATGTGACATTCAACAATTGATTTACCAATATCCAATCAATGTTACATTTACTAAAAGAGTTCAAGTTGACCAGCACAGTAACTGTACACAGGAACAAAGCAGAAATTTCAAATGAAATGTTGCAATTTCAAAACAGAATTGTATAGTACAATCTTTGGATTTCAGTAAGATTTACATGGCCTCATATATGTTAAAGAAAAAAAAAACTGGTACTGTTGATGTTAACATTGCACCATGATGGAAATATTGATAGGGGTAAAAGAAGCTTGAGATGGAAACTTTCTACAACAAAATCAAAGGCAAAGTAGATACTGATGAGTTATTCAGCAACTATCAAAACACAAAGCATTGGCCAATGGTTGTGTTTTACTTGATTCTAAACATGTGTGATATAAATGGTTTGATAGTTTACAAAGAAAATAACAAGTGCAAAATACCATGAAGGAATTTTCTTAGAGGACTGGGGCTGGAACTCATTTACATCAGAGGAAAAACAAAATGTTTCTGCCAAGGGAACTACGCAAAAAAAATTGTGGAGCAAACTGGTGATCTGACAGGTGAACAGGTAGGCACAGCATCCCAAAGACCTACTATGACAACAGGGAAATGAAAAAGATGTCAACTGTGCCCTACAATGAAGGACAGGAAAACAAAACATATGTGCTATCCCTGTGATACTTGTGTATGGAACATGCAATTTTCATATGTGAAGACTGACTTGGGTGTGACATTTGAAGCAAAGATTATTTTTGTTTTAGAGTTCTACTGGTGTTTTCATTGTAGTTCACATAAGTTTTTATTTCTGATGTTATCATTTAGATTTTGTAAGCAAGTACACATCTGGTGAGAAAATGTTGATGTCTAGTCTAAATGTGCAAAACATATTAATAATATAATACCTTATTTCATTAATATTTTGTCCTGTTAAATAAACATTGTATAATATAATAAAAATCTCCTGATAAAACAGCAAGACCAGTGAGATGTCAAGTATGTCCTGCCAAAAGGCCAGGAAACCAAAACACATGTGCTGTCAGTGTAAGCAATATGTGTGGTATGAAATGTGTTGTGATCATGTGTGAAGACTGCCTTAGGTGTGATAATTGAAGTAAAGGTTACTTTTTTGTAAAGTGCTATTGCTATTTGCATTGTAGTTCATATAGGAATTTATTTCTGTTGTTCTTTTTTAGACTTTGTACACCAAAAAGGTCAATTTTCAAAATTTTGATGCTTTTTATAAACAATAAATATTAAAAATGTAATATTTTATTTTTGTGATTTTTTTCCAGTGAATCATTGTTTAATATAATAAAACTCATAAAATCAAAATTAATAACTCATCAATAGAAATATTCTAAAGAATAAACAAGGGTCTGACACACCCATGATTCTGTGACTTTATGACAAAAAATGTGTTATGTGTCACAGGGTAAATATGAATAAAGGACAGACATGTGCAGACTGGCTTTTTCTTGCCTAATTTTAATACAAAGAATAAAGAATTTTTAGCTATACTATGAAAGTGCCCTTAGAAACTGACAAGAAAAAGAAAAAAAATGTGAAAATGTACAGAGATGTGAAGAATACTTGTAGCAAAGCAAACCCAAGTAGGGAGTAAATAATGCAGCATAACTCAACATAGTACTAAGAAATCATAAAGTAACAATGAGCTATCACTTTGTGTCCATCAGATAGGCAAACATTTAACAAGAAAGCTAACACATACTGCTGGTAAAGATTGTGGGGCGGTGCCACAATATCCTTTGATGGAACCGTGAATTGTTAGAGTGTTTTGGAAAGTAATCTGGCAACAGATATTAAAATGAAAAACATACATCTTCTGTACAGGGACTACTGAAGGAAT